TAACTACTGAGGTCTACAGAACCTCTCCCTCTGTTATGTAGAAATAGAAAAGTAGTAGGTTCACTAGTCTTGTCCTAGGGTCACTCAAGAACAAGAGTGTTACTGGTAGGATTGCCAGGTGAAGATACACCTGAAACTAGAAAACAAATGCAGCTACACCATCTATAGACTGTTAAGTTGCAATACTTTAATTCTTTTTGTTGGGTTTAGATACACGTAGAAAAAAAATTCTGCTACAGAGGAAAGCTGTTTTCTCAGAACAGCATGTGCCTTGGGGTCCACGGGCCCCTTTAAGAGGTGAGCGAGGGCGCCAGCTGTTTAAAGTGACCCCCGCTATCGATGAAAAGCAGGCAGGTGGAGCTGCAGCAGTTTGATTATGATAATTGGTCGGAGAAGTTATTAGTATTGACTCACAATAGACCTCTGGCTACGAGGCCTCATCCACTTTGTAAGCTCTCATGAGATGCCGGCTAATCCTAATTAAACATTTCACCATTGTTGCGATAAGCATGGCTTCCCAGCCTCTCTCTGCTTCCATGGCACATTTTAGAGACGGGCCCCGCTAAGCATTGCAACCTGGATTTCAAAAAAAGGATTACAAACTAGGAAAGCATCCTTGAGAGATCGCCTATACTATACCAGTTCTTGAGTCCAGGTTCTCAGGTTATCCCCTCCGTTTGCAGTCGGGTTTCTAGAAAGACATATAAAAAACAATGTACCGTGGTTTAGATTCACATTTATAAAACTAAAACCATAAAAAAAATGTAATCTAGCTATTATTTTTGGAATGCCCTTCACAGCATTGCTTGGGAGACTGAGAATCAGAATTATGAGCCAGTCAGGGATGTGTTGCTCTGCACTGTGCTGTCACTCTAACTCTGTGAAGTTGCTTACAGGAGGTAGGAGCACAGGAATGGCCTCCTCAGTGATGCCTTACAACAGCATTATTCAATTTACATAATGGGGGTTGGCTTTATTGCTTAAATGCAATGGAGGTCTGGGACCTGGCTATGCTTTATGGCAGAGGGGTCTGGGTCACAAGACTGTTTGTACAAAATTTCAAAGCTTTTGGACGGTAATAGAGCTTACAAATGTATTTCAACCACTTGTTTAGCTGTTTGCCTACTGTTCAGCTTTAAAGAGACTCCGTCACATTGCCGCTTCATGGCAAAGGGACAGGTTCTCTTGTAACAGCGATTCTCCACCTGCTAATGAATTGTTCATGTTCTGTACATCTGTTGAGGTCCAAACTCTGAATTACATCCATGTCCTCTTCCCTCCTTACCTGACATTGACAGTAGGTCATGATCAGAGGAGGGTCACAGGCTCCTCCCTACCTGACAGCACACCATCATCAGAGGTCACATGCTCCTCCATACCTGACAGCACATTGTCATTGACGGTTGTGATCAGAAGAGGGTCACATGCTCCTCGGTAACAGACAACACGTTGTCATCAGAGAAGGTTACATGCTCCTCCCTTCCTGACAGCACACCATCATCAGAGGAGGTCAAATGCTTCTCCATACCTGAAAGCACATAATCAGCAGAGGTCAAATGGTTTTTCATACCTGACAGCAAATCATCATTAGAGGAGGTCACATGCTTCTCCATACCTGACAGCACGTCATCATCAGAGGAGGTCACATGCTTCTCCATACCTGACAGCACGTCATCATCAGAGGAGGTCACATGCTTCTCCATACCTGACAGCACGTCATCATCAGAGGAGGTCACATGCTTCTCCATACCTGACAGCAAATCATCTTTAGAGGAGGTCACATGCTCCTCGGTAACAGACAACACGTTGTCATCAGAGGAGGTCACATGCTTCTCCATACCTGATAGCACGTTGTCTTTAGAGGAGGTCACATGCTCCTTTATACCTGGCAGCACATTGTCAGTGACAGTAGGTTGTGATCAGTAGAGGGTCACATGCTCCTCGGTAACAGACAACACGTTGTCATCAGAGGAGGTCACATGCTCCTCTAAACCTGACAACACATTGTCGTCAGAGAAGGTTACATGCTCCTCCATTCCTGACAGCACACCATCATCATCAGAGGTCAAATGCTTCTCCTTACCTGATAGCACGTCATCAGCGGACGTCAAATGGTTTTTCATACCTAACAGTACGTCATCATTAGAGGAGGTCACATGCTCCTCCTTACCTGATAGCATGTCATCAGCGGAGGAGGTCACATGCTCCCCATACCTAACCACAGCTCCTCATCAGAGGAAGTCAAATGTTCCTCCTTACCTGATAGCATCTCATCAGTTGAGGTGACATGCTCTTCCATACCTGTAGAGACTGCATATTCTTGGAAGTCTCTGACAAAGAAACATAGTGGTTGGGGAGCACAGGGGGAGGCCGCTTCCTGAGAACCTGTTAATTTTCCCCAAATGGGCAAAATAAGAGAATACATATATTCAACAACATATGTGTTTCCTTATCTAATCCTTTGAGATTTAAATTTCCGTAATGATTTTTTAAAATTGTTGTTGCAGCGCTGGTAATAAAGAAGCTGGTACCTGTATCTTTATTGATTTGAATGTTTTAAATATCTCCAACCCATTCTGTGTGTTTAGGGAGGGGGCAGTGGACCAAGAGATGCCAAATTTTTCAGCATCACCTTTAATAATTAGGCTATCTTGGAGTGAAGTTAATGACCATGCGATGTTGTCACCTGCATGGTGACCTGCATGTTGTCACCTTTGAAGATGTTCCAGCACGTTGGATAGGTGGCCTCTAGGTCCCTGAAGACCTTGAGGCACGTTTGCTAGGCCAAATTCGACATGGCTCTTTCAGGCTCCTGTTTGTACAGCGAGTCCTCTATGAGCGCATGGCCATTACGAGAGCAGATGGGACAAGCCAACGTCACTACCTTCCTTTCTCATTGTCTGGACTTCTTCTGTCTCCCTCTCTGGCTGAGCGGGTAGGCCAGATGGCAGCGAGGGAGCAGACAACAAGTGAGGAATGGCATATGGGCTGCCTGTTTAATTTTGATCCCTGCTGAGCAGTGGATTGGCCTAGGTAGGTTACAAAAGCCAAAGGAAAAAAAAGATAGAAGCCCTGCCAGGGAAATTAGACTCAATTTTCTTTTGTGGACGGTCAGGAATTCTTCTCCGTACTTTTCCTTTAACACTTTTCTCCCATCCCCCTTCCTCTCCTCCAGACTCAAGTAAAGGAGGCAGATACACCTCATTAAAGACGGTTAAGGATGTGGGGGTGGGGGAGGACAAGCGGGCCCCTTACATGGCGAACACACACAACTAAATTACACCCCTTGTTTCCCTGTCACTTAGAGCAGGAAGTCCTGTCAGCTCTTAAGAGGCTCCAAAATGGACCTGTCTCTCCAAAGCCGGCGTTGGCTCTTAGAGCACTGATTCCCATTATTTGTGTCCTGCATTTCCATACTAATGACTTTGTGTACCGTTGCCCCTTTTAGTCATGTGCTGTGGATTTTGTAGCTGGAAGGCCCTTTCACCTCCTATGCGCGTGCCGCAATGTGCGTTATTGCATGCATTTTTTCTGTAGATCTGACTACTTTCTCACTAGAATATTTCAATGCTGTAAAGTCGGACGAAATAGACGATTACGTATCTTGTTCCGGTGCACTTCCTGTCTGCATTGGGTGCACATCATTGATCTGGACTGGCTTTTCTAAAAAAAGGTTTGGCTTACTTAAACAGAATGCTATATATGAATGAGTGCAATGGCCGCCCTGTGTCCTCATGAACCTGCTTGAGGTCGGCGGAGTTTTATCCACTTTAAAGTAGTGTAAAGGATGATCTCCTATAAGGGGAAACAGCCTAAAAAAAAAACAGGCGGCAAGGCCCAACCATTAATAAACTGTGGATTTGCTGCATGCCCTCCTTATTCATGGATAGGTTCTGGAATTGATCCGTCTTGAATGGCGGCCCCCCTCCTTCTCATTGGCAGCTTAGATTCCGAGAAGATTTGCGCCATTGTCTGAGGACGCATGACGTTGGATTGATTTCCAGGCTTTTGTATGGCCTCCAAGCTCCTGAATGAAGCTGTCATTTGTGTCTGTGGCTGGCGAGCAGGCTGTCCGGCTGCAAGCTGTGCCTCCCTTTGTTGTTTCGGCCTCATTGAACAGAGGGAAGAGGCTCATTTGAGGGTGATTTACCACCACCCAAACACCAGCTGTCTGTTGTGTGGATGCTGCTGGCTACCTTGAGCTCATTCCCATCGCCTGGCCTCCTCATCATCTCCCTCCCCTGACCGGCCTCGTGATTTTTTTTTTACTTGTTTGTTAGCACAAAGGCGGACGATGGTGCCGCTGCGCTCTGCGGATCTGTAGGACCAATACACAGGGGTTGCTTTTCTGTTTTATCAATGGACCTCCAAATACAACCATTAACCCCCATTCCTCCAATTGGGGAATGGGGGTTAATGGTGCTAAACCCCAATACCAGAAAAAAAATGGTGTGTGTATATGTATATATGTATATGTGTGTATATAATATATATATATATATATATATATATATATATATATATA